GGCCGGGGCGGAGCGGGGGCCATTTCATCAGCCAGTAGCACAGGAAAATATCTGTGAAAGGACATAGGTGCTTGCAAGTTTTTCAAAAAATGTCTCATAGCAAATTTGACCTCCTCCAATGCCTAACATAAACGTGATTTGCAAGGAAGTGCATTCACACGTACTGTTTCATTTCCAGCCTATGGAAAATACTTCCCCATCACCTCCCAGACAGACAATTCTTAACTGATATTTGAACTTGCTGTTTGGAACTAAAGGTCTAAAGATCATGCTAAAGTGCTCTGCTTTGTTACATTAGTAGTAGGGTTTGCGGTTTGGGTTTTTTTTTTCAATGAAAGCTTTCAAAGTCATCTTAAATATTTCTCTGGTTTAGGAAGAAATATATTGAAAGTGAACTAGAAGCTGCAAGACGATGGTCTCACAAATGGGGATTCCTGAAAACACCTCCTGAGGAGGTAAAATTGAAGGGCTTACAAGCCCTTCATAACACATGAAATTTACTTGTACGCAAATTTATCTGAACACAAAATTATGAGAGCGCAGAAGACTAGAAAAGTACTGAGTATGCTTTGCTAAGCTAGGTTCTGAGGTAACAAGTGCACTACTTTTAAGATGGGTTCAAAGTTTCAGTTTTCCTCTGAATAAAATATGGCGAGTGGTAATTTATATGCTATGCATATTCTGATATATTTCTCTTGAGAAACATGACTCCCAATGGTGTTAACAAGTACTAGATGCACACTGACAGGAAAATATTTCCCCTTTGTCTATCCATATGGTAGTTTTAAAATCAAGGGGAAAAGGTTCTAGCTAATTAAATTTTCAGTGGGGGAATTTACAACAAATGAAAATATTTGGAGAGATGTCTATTCTCAGTGATGTTTAGATATTAGAATATAGTAGCACATAACGTTACATTTGGAATCACAGTATTTCGTTGCTAAAGAACAGGATTGATGCAGCCCCTGAATAGCTATAGATGTACTTCCCATGGGGCTAGAAGTACTTAATCTGTTCTAGGATTTTTTGAAAATTCCTGTTGGCATCCAAGTTAGCACATTTGAAAACTTTGGTCCTCTAGGCTTCAACATCCATCCTTGATAACTGTGGTCTGTCATGCGTACCACCTTTGCATAGTACTAATAGATCTACAGCTGAAAAGTTGACTAACTATGCATCGTCACTATTGGTGAACATGTGTATTTAGCATTTATTAATCTTTGGTTTGTGGTCATATAAGATATATATATAAGATATGTTTCTAGCCCTTTTTGGACCATGTAGTTAAGCGAGCTGGAATCACTCAGCAATATTTAGCCTTTCATCTGAAATTCAGAATTACATCACTTTCTGAAACCAAATAGTACATTACAATAATTTCCAAAGTACTACTACACGTAGTCCTATTTTAGACAGAAAGAACAGGGAGTTCAGATGGAACAATGAGGGGAATGGTGTAGATATCAGCTATTACAGCATATTTCAAAAGATAAAGGGTCCAATTTTTAATGTTGATGTTTTGGTTTTAGTTGATTGAAGAGGAAAAGAAAGAAAATACAAAGCCCAAGATACAGCTTCCAGAACATCTTCAGGTTCGACCTGTGACACCTGTGGAAAAATACATTAAGGTTAGAAAATTAGATTTTTAAATTGCAGTACAGCAATATCTGTCTTAAGAAACCACACAAGCTCTAAAAACCAGTTGTCTTATAGAGGTGGGCCTTTAACTAAAGGTCAAAGTAAATTGTATTTGCAACCTGAGCAATGTTTTAAAAGCATTCATTTAAGACAAGGAATTGCCCTTTGGATATTGTTGTTAGTTCACAGAGCTTTCACTGTACATAATCATCTTTCAGTAAAGCACCTCCCCCTCGCACTCCCCTGTGACATCTAGTAACAGAACAGTCAACTGTTCAGCTTAGTGCAGAAGTGCTCTTAGAGCCATTGATGACTGCTGACCATTCATTGCTCAAATATACATATACGTGTCTTACCTCAAGGCTTATCATAACCTTAACTCTCAGTTTTAACTACTGGTTAAGATGCAGTAATTTTCCTAGCTTTATTTTAGACAGTCTTCTTTTTGGCAGAGACAATGCCACGGTCTTCTTTAGTGGCACAAATTAGATTAGCCAGGAGAAGACAGTTTTAATGAGCCAATTCGTAACTTTGATTTTATATTATGTGATTTATATTCACATATTCAGAGTTTAAAAGTTGTGAAACAGCTGGAAATGACAGTTGAATGTGACTGATGGTTTGATTTATAAATATACGGTGTCAGAATCACCAATGAACAGGGTAACTATACAGGCAGCTAAATCAGTGACATTGGGAGAGGAACATGTTCATAAAAGGGGAAGCAGAATATGCTAACAAAAAGGAAGGTTAGTCCACTTAGAGAAGATTAAGGAAACAAAAGAGATTGGAAATTCCTACTTGCTGAACTAGCTTTCTTTCAAAGGATTCCAAGGGTGAGGAGATAAGGGGAGGAAGTAGTAAAAGCTTTTACTGAGATTAAATTGAAACAAAAATTAAGAGCTAGTGCTGAGTGTGGCAGGGAAATGAAATGACAGCATTTCTGCCTTTAGTGCTACTTGTTCTTTGGTTTTGTCTCAAGCCTCCAGTTTCAGTCAAGTTTACCTCTGCTTCAGCACAGTGAGGGTGTATGTGTGTTAATAGATCACGCAGTTAACAGCTGCTGAAGTGGCACGCGTAGCCTGGTGCATACTGAAACAGGGATCCTAGTTTCAATTTCACGTCAGAATCTTTATTTGCTAAGGAAGGTAAGGGTTAGCTGTGATTTAGGTCACCCTTTACATATTCAGAGTGAAGTTTCTTAAGTCCTTATTCAGAACTATGTGTCTTTCTGCACATTTACCTTCATGGTAACAGTCATCGTATCTGTTCTTCTCTCTAGGTTAGATTAATAATTGCTTCTTCATAGTCCCTTCCCCCAGATTCTAAGTGGGACATGATTTCCTTCATTATCCTGCTCAGTGGGTGGCACTTTTGGCCGTAAAAATTATCTTTTCAGAGGAACCGCTCCACCTAAATATCATAAACATTTTCTAATCTTGGCCAAAGAACAAAGTGAAGCAACTCTGGCAAGAGAACTGAAACATTGTTCTCTTGCTGTGTATTTCTCTGCGAAGTCCCCAGATGCTAAAATGATATAACGTGCCCAATTGAGATGATTCAGCCAAAGTAAGCACAGCAGTCAGTGAACAGAGGCTGTTGGCTTTTGTTTTGTTTCCTTTTTAGCTAGATTAGTTGCAGATTAACTCGATGGTTACCCATCTTTTAAAGAAGGTGGAACAAATAAGTAGTTCTTGATGCAAAAGCCAGCTTGATCAGTAATATCTTTAGCATTTGGCCACAAAACTATTATTCCATAGCTGCATTGCTACCAAATACATTACAGCAAGTATAAAATGCTATTTCTCCTGTTTAGAGAAGTTAACTAGTTTTAAAGATGATGGTGATGATGATGATGATGATGATGATGATGATGACGATGATGATGATTATTCTGTAAGGAAAAAAGCTAAAGCTGAAGATAAAATTCTTCTCCTAATAATGTAAAGACAGTAAAGCCCTTAGAAAGGTATTGAGCAAAACTTAAAAAAAAAAGTATTCTAACATACACTACTAAACAATAACTTTGCATTTTCATCTCCTGTTATACATACCAATTTAGGCACTAAAAGATTTTTTTTTTTAGAAGGGTGGTAAATGAAAGTTAGTTAATTCATTGGAATTTGGCCATTTTACTTCTCTCTTTCCCTGTGTCTTGCTATAGAATGGGACCTAAATTATTCTAATAACTTTTTATATTATAAACTATCCTGTATTATAAATCAAACTTGCATGCAACTGAGCTATCTTTCTAAGTTCTTATTCCCTTCCATTAATGTCAGTGTGCATTCAGGATATTAATTCATCAGACTGCATTTAAAACCACTATTTGTGATAAGTTCTCATTTCCATCCACACTACAGCACAAAAGAGGATTACAATCAAAAACCTTCTAATCATTGAATTCTACATGTTACTTTTATTCTAGGTGATTCCATCTCCTCCAGTACCTAAGACGACCCAGGGATTTATTGGCTGGAGATCAGCTGTTCCAGGGTTGGAACTTGAACGTGGTTTTCAAATCCAAAGCTGCAAAGGTACCTTTTTTAAGGATTTGAAGTGGCCATGTGAGCCCTCTGACTGACATTAAGAAATAAGTTAGGCACATAGACCCATTTGCATCCCTAAGTTAACATTCTGTAGTGGACTGTTGGACTGTTAAACATTTATGCTTTAAAAATGATTTATGTAAACATCCACAATCATTTTGATAAAGTGCAAACATTTTAATGTAGCATTTTACTTGTTACTGATTTTTTGAAATCTATGGCATCCAAGCTGTTAATACTGCTTCAGGTTTACTTAGAAGTAATGATGAATAAACTCATATAAAGATCAAAGAGCAGATACTACTTTTATTAGCGTTAGTAAGACTATGATTTTAAAATATTTACTGGAAGTCTTTAAAAAACTTATTTTGTAACGACAGAGCACATTTTTATAATTGCTTCTCCATGAAAGCCTCCATTCAAACTCAGTTTCACAGCAGCTTTTTCAAACATAAATACAGACTGCATGTTCCTGACAATCCTATCCTGCTGCTATTCCCAATTAATCACTTACCACTATTGGAATCTGTGTTGAGAATTAGTTTTCAATTAGCACTCTGAACTGGCTCACTACTGAGTTGCTCAAGTGCCTCTCCTAGCACAAAAACATTTCTTTTGTACAGAAAGGGGATGAGAAGAGGCAGAGAAGAGTAGCAGGCATGACATAACTTATGTTGGCTCAAGCTGCCATGGAACTGCATGCTTACATTTGGAAAGAAGCTTTCCACATTAAAAAAAAAAACCAAAACAAAACACAACAAACAAACAAACAAAAAATACCTGCAGAAAAGTTAATTATCAGGCTTCATCATAGTGTGCCCACTGCAGCTTGGAAAAACAGGCAAATCATAAGTATAGTTAAGTCATAATTATTAAATGCAGTCTTATGTGTTGTGTGTGCTTTACAGGTAGTTTGTGTAGTTACTCACGTAAGTAATTGAGTAGTTCCCAGTGCAGCTGCTTGATTGGTATAAATAAAGCATACAAAGGCCATTTAGCAAAATGAAGTCACTTTCAAAAATGAGTTGTGGTATCAAAACAGGGTTTTTTTTAGTGAGTTGATCAGAATGCAAATATGTTACAAAGTATTTATGTTGCTTCAGTTTTGTTTATACCAACATTTATACCAACCAGGACTGGTGAAAGACTCAGAAACAGTAGGGGATTGCACTGGGAGTTACTAGTGTAGCTACCTCAGTGCTATGGAGTTCAGTCTTGCACTTCACTACCTACCTGAAGATTTGCCAGGACTTTTGGAAACTCAGAAGGAGACTCATCTAGTTGTAGCAGCTATTTGCAGGATATAGTTCTAACTGGGTAATGTGTTTAAACTAGAAGAATGTTTAAACAAATAACTGCCTCTAAGAAATTAGCACAGGCAGCTCCTTATAATTCCCTATTACTTAAAGAGGAAAGACTTTTCTCTTTAATTCTGCTGCAAGATCTCCTTTGTATTCTGCAGCTATCAATATCTACTTGAGTCAGCAGTAAGTCCTTGGCTTTCATAGCAGTAGGTCAGCAGCTAGTGTTTGTTCTTTCCTTCTTCCCAAGAAATGACTCACAATGATCAACATCCCACCTAGGTTTTTTTTAACATCCACTTCCAAATGCCCACAAAATAATAATATTTTACTTTTTCCATATTCTTTACAAATAATGGAGAAGTGACTCATATCCTTTGGAAAGATTACCCAAGAATGAGAATACACAGCAGAAGTCACTTCAGACACATTACTTAAAAACCAGAATAAAGAATAACTTGGATTAAGACTCTGGAAATTTAAGCTAAATTGCAGTTTAGCTACTAACTATAATGTGTAAACTGTTCTTTGAACAAGCAAGATAATTGTAAGGACAATATTTTAAATCAGTGTGCTTTCCTGTCATTGTGAGGTTTGTATCTATTTATTTTAATCACTTGGTTCTTCAGTTTATTTTAAGGTCACGTATAAATCCTCTTATTCTTGTCTGATTTATATAAACAGGTATAGTAAAGATTAGTATGTAATTTAGTAGCAACAAAATTACATGAATCCAGACCAAATGAAAGGGGAGCTTCAAGACCACTGTTTTTTAAAAGATGTTATATTAAAGAACCAAAGCTGGCACCTAATATCCAATAGATGTTTGTATGAAGTGAAATCCAAATCTGTATGAGTCATGGTTTGATTCTGAAAACCAAAATAAATTTTTTTGTCCAGCATCTACAGTTGGACATTTCTGAATCTTATTCCCAATGTCTGAATATTAATTCTGTACTAACAGGGGTTTTTTATTACACTTTCTATCATTTAAAGTATCTTTACTTCAGGAGATACTTTGATATAGCCTAATTTGGGATGTGTAAGGAGCGTTATCTAAAATTTGAACTCATTCCTCTAGCATAAATCTGTCAGTTGTTAATTGATCCATGTATTTGGGGTTTTGGTGTTCAAGAGTATGTGAAATTATAAACCTATTTCTTTTCCCAACACCAGTTTGACCCTTTATACCTGAAAAAATTTTCTAGAAGTTGCGGATTTGCAGCTGACAAAGGACTGCCCAGTCAACTGCCCCAATTGTGAATCTGAAAGGCCGATACAGAGTTATTAAATCACCTTGTAATGTTTCAAACCTGGCATTTAATTTGTGGAAATTAACCTATTTGTTGGAGCCAACTTGGGCACATAAATGTCATGGCACACTGTAAAATATCACACCATCTCCAAGGTCAGGACAGTGTTAGTAAACTCAGTGCACACACTGGGGAAATGCTTCAAAACAAAATTAAATCACTTCAAAAATGCAGCAAAAGTCAAGACAATTTTAATTCTATATAAAAGTCTTAGACCTGTGCTGCTGTGCAAGTCAGGGCAGAATGGGATGTTTCTAAACATATGTAAAAAGTTATGCAGTTTATTTTTAACCAAAATTTGAAAACAAGATGCAAGTGTATTTAGATGTCTTCTGTGCTTCAGTCTAAATTTCATTTGGTGTAGTCTTTTCTCAAGCTGTTGGTGGTCTAAGTTTCATGTTAGCAAAGTGGCATGCCTATCAATTCCTCCTCAGCTGACTAAAATTTTTCAGAAAACTGAACACATCTTGTCTTTTGACTGTTGTTTTCAGATAAACTAGTTCTTTGCTAAGAGGCTCATTTTAAAGAGGAACTAGGAATGATGCTTTCAGGATTGCATATGCAAAAATTTTACTGTATTTGACACACAGTCACCACAGCAAGACATGAAAATAAGTCAGCCATACATCTTTTGCCACTATGGATGTGTGCCTGCATATACTTTCCTGGGTGTGTGATGAAATAATAGCAGAGGCTTAAATGACAGTTGTATTTAAGCTGAAGAACTATGAAATCAGAATTATCCTTCTCACAAGCACTTGCTTTATAAACAACAAAATTGGGTGACAAAAACCTGGTGCATTTTCCTTCGCAATGTGTTCTTTTCTGTGCTGTTAGAACTGGCACAGAACTAGTACTTCCTTTTTATAATTTCATTAATATAAGATATTTTACCAGGAGCTCAGAGTTGAAAGATTATTATTTATTTAAAATGTACTTTACATGAGAGAATAAAGATTTTTGATTAGATGATAGTGAATGGTGATTCTGAATAAATAGCACTGCTCAAATTACAGTCACCATACAAGTGTTGCTGTACATTTTGAAAGAAGTAAAATGAAAAGCAACCGCAGCATGTGCATAGCCAGTTGATCTAGCTACTGTAAAAGGTGGACGCTTAGAAAATAAATCTAATCACTATTCTGCATGAGACATTTCTACAATGTAACATGCTGTGACTATCCTATTGGATACCCACTGCAGTCCCAAGTTTGTGCAAAAATTACCGTCTCCGGTTCCTGCTATTGGCTACTCTGTCAGCTTGAAGTAACTTTAATTCCGAGATCATTTGCCTACAAAACAGAGGAAGTAGATTTTTTTTTTCTTTTCAGAGACTTAAGGTTCCCCATTCACACACATCATTTCCCCGTTTAGTGAAGGATACTTTGTGGTTTCTTCCACATTCTACAAGGTACCAAAGTGACAAACACTAGTCTAACATAGTCACTGGCAACCAGACTAGAAATCTGTACTCCCGTGTGAAGCCCAACCCAGGTCACTTCCTGCATTAGTTTCCTAAACGCGTTGTATTTAGCTCCCCTTGAAACCCTAAGTGACAGCGTAGCAAGACAGCTAAGGCCTGCTCGCAGACCCTTACCTTCTTCCTGACTCCTGTGGTTTTCACATCCCATCAAATTGTTATTTAACTAGTTGAAAGCATGTCAAACCATTTCATAGGACCATAGTGTAATAAATTTAACTGTACTGGAAAATGATACCATTGTGCTGTGGAACTGATCAGGTTGCCAGTGAACTAAAACATTGCCCCTACAGTCTGTTCTATCGTACATGGAAAAGATCAGCAGTACTGAGAAATAAATTCAAAACAAAACCAGAAACTTTGTGAAAACAACACAAATCTGATTCATGCTGCACCAGTGAAACAAAACGCTGGAAAGGGTTGTTATTTTTGTCAGATGAATTGGAGATAATTTTGACCTTAGGGTTTCAGGCTGCTCACACACATCTCAAGACTTGCTCTGTTACACGGAGAACAGTTCAAAGAGATTAGAAGAGTGCTCTTTCCTGTATGCCTCAGAGGTGGGTTTATTTCCATAGGGGTTTCCAACTGGAAATTCTCTGATATAACCTGAAGAGTACCACTGGGCAGCTTTTCATCTCAGTGCAGAAAGATGTAGTGTTGCCACCTTTGAAGACACACATTATCAGTCTGAGCAGTGGGTTTTACAGGCTCTGACAGAATATGAAATGTCCAAAACCATCCCGGGATGGTGGTAGGCCACTGGACTTCTAGCACAAGGCTTGCAAAGAAACTGGAGGTTGTGTTCATGAAGCGTGTTCTGAAGCCTCTGCATTTTCCTCTGCACCACCCACGAACTGCCATGGCTTCAGATGGCCACCACGCCACGCAGCAGCTTAGGGACAGCACTTCAGCATTTAGGGA